GCCCTGCCCCGCCCCGCCGACGAAGCCGCAGGGCCTCCGCCGACGCGCCGCCTCCCGCTGGGGCCTCCCGCTGCGGCGCTAGGAATGTGCGGAGCACAGACGCCTTCCGGGACAAGCGGTCGGCGCTACGGCGTCTGCGCGGGGAAACGCTCCGGATGTTGTGTCTGGACGGGAGCTTCGTAATCGGGTCATGCATTTTTCTCATCTGGAACCTACTGACCCCCAACGGACGGTTCGTGATGTTCTGATGTTTTGTGTGGATGTAAGACTCTTCGCTTTTGTTAATCGGGTCATTCATGTTTCTCATCGAGAATGTATTGACTCGCAACGGCCGCTGATCAAAATGCTCGCCTTCCACCGCTGGGACTGGGTTCATAACCTGATTCGAGTACAAGTTGCGGTGGACGAAATTCGTTCGCGGCGGGTTTTCTCGGGGTTCTCCCGTTTCCTCTCCTTCTTATTCTACCACAGTTTCATCATCATTCATATATTTGCCTTATAATCACCTACTCAGCAAAATCATTCATCTGTTTCCACGTACGGCCATGCGGCCTAGGCTATATGATAATAAAGTATTGTATCCCCACTCTGGCAAAAGAAGTACATTAAACGTTACACAGTTTTTAACTGTTTTTGACGTAAATTAAATAAATAGTACATTCCTGTGCTGTGCTGTACTGTGATATTACGATACGAGAGAGTATCGTAAACTTCACACACGTGTAACCCATTACATCGAATTTCACACTGTACTTTCTCTATGATTTATGCATTATTTATCATTTATTTTAATATTAATTTTTATATTTTTTTCATTACGATTTTTATAAGTTAAAATTTTATGTTGAATTGTTTTGTGGCAATTGACATGCAGGATTTAGTCAAGGGCACCTTGCGATATACTCTCCACCCTACCCTGTGGCAGGTGTCTTTTGTTTACCACTGCGCTAGATCAAAGTGAAACAGCGATACAATTTATTGTAAATAATATTCCCCGAAAAAATGGTTAATAATAAAATAAATTATAACTGACAATCATAATATAATATTAAATGTAATTTTAATTAACCCAATCGAACGAAACATTTACTAGAACGATACTGAATGATTAATTAAGTGTTAAAGTGTTCTTGGTTTGTAAATTTCCCTGTGATTGGTCAAGAACTTGTATCATAATGAAATCTGTATCGTAATGAGTATCATTATGCAAAGGGTTGTAGCCAAAAAAAATAAATGAAACAACGTGCCACAGACCGCGTTTGGTCCTTCCTTCTCCTTTACCATCACCCGTTTTTATCCTGAGTGGCTGTCGATGAGTTGGCCTCATTCCGATATGACTTATTTTAGACCAATTATGGCTTATATAAGAACATTTTATACGGCTTCATTTAGAAAAGACTGCTCTTGCATCGTGGGTACGCGAGCGGCAGATTATTCCGATTAAGATCTAGCCCTACAGGAAGAAGCCGTTAATTTGTGATCTGATTCTCTTCTCATGTAAGTTGCTCAGGGTGGCTTTACCAACTCATTTAGAAATGAAGATATTTTGCGGCATGGTTGGGGAGTGTTTTTGTATTAGCCTCAGCAGTGTGACATATTAATTTTCGCCCGTAATCTTCTAATGCTTCGCATATTTTTAAGATGTGCAGACTCCTGTTGCGGATTATTTCATGCGAGTTCAATTGGGGATGTGTGAATCAAGACAAAATGAATGAAATTATAAAACTAGGCACTAGAAAAAGTAGAAACACAAGCATAAACAAAAACAAAATATAACGCTGTAATAACAACAATTAAATATAAAAGTAGTAATACATTAAATTATAATTTAATAAATAATACTATGATTCAGATTGAAATTGTCACATACGAGATTGAGTATAGTGAAACCGGAATACTTCTCGCATTTTTGTATGTAACATCATGTGTAATCCAAAGTAAGTAGAAATACGAAAGGTTGTTATAATTTGTATTCGCATGCTTTTTGAGCACTGTTCAGAGTCGATTCTTTCACATAAATTATTTTAGATAGAAAAAATGAATATTACAGTTTTCTTTTCTTAAAGATGTACGTATCTAATAATGTATCGTATCTAATTGTAACTAACATGGTATCTCATGATGTTCACTCTTTTTAAATTGAATTTCGATTTGAAAACATTAAAATGATTTTGTGCTCGGTAGATAACTAGCCTAATGTCGTATCTGCCATGAATGAAATCTGTTTCAAAACGATATACGATTTTAAAGAAATGGAATCATAAACGCCAACTATTTTCTGTTCCATTTTCTCTTCTATTTTCTGTTCTTTCAACCAACACTAGTTACTTCAAATACTATTTTTTTAACATTAATGAGCATGTTGTAACTAGCAGTTACATACCCCTTACTTAAATATTTCTTTTGCACCTCACAATATTGGTACTTTCTGACCCATTTCTTAAAAACGTATTTTTCCCGAGATCACTCACCGTTCTTGGGGAGCTTCTCCAACGCGAGTGACTTCAATGAGAAGTGCATCAATCAGTTGTTCGTGAAATTCTTCTGGATCATAAGGTTCCATGTTCAAAGATAGGGCAGATACAGTTGCCAGAATGGAAACCAGATCAGATGCCAATTCCATGCCCCACAGCTCCAGAGGCAGGTCAGCATTCTCATCGTCCTCCAATGTCGGTGGGAGTGCGAACGCGCATGGAAGCCAGCGTGGAGACGCCCTGGTGGCCGAGCAGGGGAGCCGGCATGGAAACCGGCGAATGGGAACACTCAGACCCGATTGACTCTCACCGTCCTCAGAATCAGTCGGAGCTGGGTCTGATGCTGCGTTAGGGTCTTGGATTGCAGCGGGGGCTGAGTCAAGGACATTATCAGGCTCAGGATCTGCTATTCCAGCTGGAACAGGATCTGGCTCAGGGGCAGAGGTCGCCACAGGTTCTTGTGCAGGAACCAGGCTCACTGGCTCGACTGGATCTGGGACAGGGGCAGAGATAATTTCCAAGGATGAAATAACGACATGTGTCGCTGGCTGGTCACAATAAAATTCATTGTCCAGGTTCCTCGCCGAAGCAGGTGTAAAACCGAGGTCAGGATTGGCGACCAAATCCGTCGCAGAATTAACCACCGGGCTGTTGGTTGCGGCAGTCCCAGAGACGGGTCTGGCGGCCGAAGAAGTACTAGTTTTAACATCTGGGCTCCACCCGACCTCAGGGATGGGAATCTCATCAGGAGCTGGTATTTGGGCAAAGACTGATCCAGGAACCTGTATACCATTCCGGACCAAATACTCCATTGAGAATGGATTCATATTTAAACCTTCTCCAGAAGTCTCTTCCTCAACAGAGTGTAGGGCTGTTTCCAGGCCGGGGCGTGTTGCTACTTGTGTATCCGGTCTGAGCAATCGTTGGTGGGCCAGGCTCTCATTGATTTCCTCGACCTCTCGCGAAATTGGGAGCAGGTCAGAATTAACTTCTCTGTAGTATTCAGGGTCAGGAGTAGGCATCTGATTAGGATTCCAGACAGAAGTCTCTGACGGATAAAATGCTTGCTCCATAGCCTCAATTGTTGGGGGAATTAGAAACTCGCTAGACGTTTCTTGTGAATCCATGTCAGAAGGCAGATTTTGCATCACATCTGATGATTGCCAAACAAATGGAGTGGAATCAAACATTTCATAATTAATTGGAAAATGTTCAGTGCCGAAATTCCATATATAATTTCCCATGGATTGACCAAGCGTTGGGGCCATATCTGTATCCCAATATTCTACAAAGTATGTAGTCAATACTTGAGCCAAATCATCAGACAGATCTGAATTCATATCAGGAACGAAGTGTGAATGTATATGAAGGTCAATTCCATCGGGCATTCCTTCAGGAGGATTAGGCGCAGCTTGCCTCAAAGAAGAGGAGCATCTTTCCTGAACAAATGAAATATGAGTGATGTGCTCCAGGTACAGACTGTTGGCGAAGCTCTCTTCCACGTTGAGTGCAAAATCTGGGAAGAATTGTGGAACAGGATGCGATTCGAAGCCCGGAGGTGGGCCCAAAAGGCCTTCACGCAGTGCTGAATCTGGAGTGTAGATTGGAATAGGGCTCTCTCCTAGGTACCAGGGCATGGATGAATCCTGGGTCGATGATGGCACAGACGAGGGAAAATGGTGATCTATGGTGATCGACGTGACTGAATCGTCCCATTGGATACATGTGCATTCCTCCCAGATCTCTGGTGAAAGACGTTCATGTTCCTCATGTTCCTCCGGTGTTGTTGGCATGGGCTCGTTTGGAACGTATTGCCCCCTGAACAAGGAAGCAAAGAGACAATTTACAGATTTGTTCAGATGTTTCTATTTTTATTGCCTCAAGTTTTTGTGTTCACAAAGATGTTTATAAAAAGCAGAAAAGAAAGATTCCCATTTTCCAGAAGCCGTAAGCAGATTGTTTGGTAACCATCACTCGGGTCTTCTAAGATCCCATAAGAGCAGTACTCATTTGAAAGGAGGCTGAGTGAGCCTGAAATTCACCCATTGTTAGTGAAATGTTTCAGTTGTAAGTTGAGCAAAGATATTGAAAGAACGACTTCTTTCAGAAAAATATATACAATAAAAACATTCTATCAACGATAAATAATTATCTTTAGTACATTTTACTTATCTTTGAAGATACAAGAAAAGTTGTGTGAACACGGCATATAAAACAGAGTATGCTTATGTTTAGTTTAATTATCTTGGTCCTGTTCGAAATAAAACATGATAACGCGATATACCAATGTTAATTGGAAAACGCTTTACAAGTCCCTTCACGTTATCTACTATCATATTCCCAATTTTATGTTCGTTATATATAAAAAGGAAATATTTGATGCGAACAAATGCGTAAATATTGAAGCTATGTTTTCACAATGTTATTTTTCTCTCATTTATTAATCAAATAAATCTATGCATGATGCTCCGTTTAACCTAAAAAATCAAAATAATTCGAAAAATACGCATCATAGAAAAAATGTCTCAGACAAAAAATTAATATCTCGAAGGGCGACATCGACTTAAAATCAAATTATTCCACGCTCTCGTGGTTGGGGAGACTTTGGAATCTTAAATAGGAACACTCATTTTTTATAGCATATTCGAATTTTGTACTAAAAAGTACATAGGTTTTGTCAAGAATATTGTTTGTTATGTGTAATGGCACCGTAATCTCGAAATTAAGATTTTCGCAATTATCGAGAAATTACACTTTGAATTGAAAAATAATTATACATCTGCTCAATAATTTTTAGACAACTTATCCTTATCTTATGATAAACAGTTACGCTCCCATGGTATTTAGCCTTTGTACGAACTATTTTGAATACTTTGAATCTACGTTTTCTGGGATCATGACATTGAAAACTTGATTGACGACAAAAAGTCTGTTAACCCGCCTATTCGTCCGCCTACCTTAGGCTAACGGTAGCGCCTAAAACTGTTTAGACGATTTTCTCTAACATTGATATTCACGGATGAATCTCAATGAACTCAGGACCCTGGGAGTTAAAAACGATATTTTGATTTTTGAGAATACTTGACATAAAGTTTCAACATTTCCAAAGTTTTCTCAATATTGGCTCCAAATTTTTGATTGCCCTCGGATAGCGTACAGAGCGTTTAAAACTGGCACTCGCATAATTTTCTTTTAAAATTTTGAATTTTTAAAAATGACAAAAGTTTATTTTTTTTGCCTGTTTCTACAACTGACGTGTTGAAGATAAATACTTTTTCTTAATGACATCAGTTTTTCAAAGACAGCTCTTTAAAAGTGATGTAGAATTTTGAAAAATATTAGTCTCTGCACAATTTTGGGCGAAATATATGCAATATTTAAATAAATATTTTCTAAAACACGGTGACACACGTTTTTATTTAATTTTTTCCTCGCATAGAGAATTAGAAACAAAAATTTGGCTAGATCGCATTTTTGGCGAACTCTGTATATTCCAAAATTTGCAAAACTTTAACATCGCAAATGTACTACAACATTTATCACATTTTTTCTCTTGAAATATGTTCTTTAAAACTAAATCTTGAAATAAAGTAAATGAAAATCTCTGAAATTTTAACAATTTCAATTCTTATGTTCAACTATCTTTTATGCGGCGGGATGGTTGACTTCTGCTATGTCGCCGGTGGTGCAGGGTAACGTATTTGGCGTGGTAAAAATATTGCTGGTTGAAAATCCTCTTTGATTTTTCTTGTAGTATTATAATACTGAGAAGTCGTAACAAATAACGCTATAAAGACGTGGTGTTGTTTTATATCTAGTTATGCTAGATGTGGGGAGGGTGAGTCGGATGTAGTTATTTCGCCCACAATACAGTCGAATTCGTAGATCGTTTGCTGATGCAAATAATTTTATTTTATTTATGTGCGAATCATTCAAGTTTACCAATGATCCCAACCACTCTCGGTTACGTCCAAGTCATAATTCAACAATGTGTAGTAAAATGGATAGTAGGGATTCTGGGTGTCAAGAAAACGAGACGCAGATGATATCTCTCTCAAATACGTCATTGCGTTTTTAAATACGTGACTGTTTTTTGTCAATAAATAAATTCATGGATAAAATATATATTAATAATAACATGTAGTCTTAAATGAATGTGTTTGGAGGGCGAAAATCATATCCAAGTACATGAACGGTCATAACATTTGTTTCAAATTAGCAATGTTTGTCTATCAAACATCGAAAAATTAATAAGAAACATGTAATTTTTTGCATTTGAAACAGTTGTTGTAAATATGTCCAATGCCACATATCATGTTATAAATATTGTGTTTATCCAAATAAGAGCAATGAAGGAGTTAACTTTCTTTGAAACATTGCTTTACTTTCCTTCCATATTACGATGACAATAAGAAGAACAAATGATCAAAAACAAAGAGTTTTAAATTATGAAACTCTGAACTACCTGAAGAAAGATTTCGTCGTCTCTTTGTTTTCCTTACATATGATTTTATTCGATTTTGTTTGCTTAGCATTTGCAAACTAATTGTGTTCATTTATATTTTGTGTAATAGACTAGGTAAAACATTTCTGAAGTCTCGGCACTGTCAAGATACCAGAGGAACTGAGTTATAGCTGAACCACGTAGAAAACATTCTTGCACGAGGCCTATACTGTGAGCATACTACTTAAATTTTTGATTGACGAGGACGTGGCCCTCCCGTATCAATCGACTGCCGCCGGATTTTGATTTCATTGCTTCATCCAACTGCCTTCTCTTCCAGTATTTATGCGGTGACATATGTAGCAATCAAAATACTTATCTCAAAACAATATTGAAAAGAAGATAGCATAATAGGCACAATTAGGGATTTCCTAGCGAGAGAACCACTTACACTTACTCGAACACTTACCGAATACTATGAACAAAATGTCCACACACACTCGAAAACGTTCATATCGAAACATAGCTTACTTCATATTCTACCCACCATCAAGAACGGGATCTATCACTTGACTAACTATGCTGCCAATTCTTGGAATAGTTTGATTACGCACTCGCCAGGGAAATCTTTAATAAAAATCACACACACACACACAAAAACGAGATGATGCAGCCTTGTGAAACCTTCACTGCGAGCTACCCTGCAAAGTAGATACCCATCAAGTAGTCATGTGATGGCAACCGCTTTGAATACTATGATAAAGTAGGCAATATTAGGAACAAATGAGTTATTTGAACCTCATTTTCTAAAATCAAAATGATTATGAAACATTTTCTTCCGTGCTCGCACGTAAGCTGTGTCTTTGTAGAAGGCGCAAAATAGAGTGCACATGTTTAGATCCATCTCTGCGCGCGGTCTCCAAACGCATCCACGGATGCAAGGCCTTGAAATAGCGCAGCGTAACGTTGGAGGGCGAGCTGCGTCCAACCGGGAACACGCTCT